TCATCCTCAAGGTGAGCTTTGGGAGTCCATGTGATGGTTCCTGACAGGAGAGCTGGTCTCCAGGGCCTTGGAGACACCCACCTCTGAGCACTGCACAGCTTTCCCACTTCCTTCTGTACCATAATGCTGGGCCTTGCAAACCACACCGGCATCAGCAGCTCTGGCCACTGAGAGAAGCATTGCCTAAATCTCTGCAGAGCTGCTTCTCCTGTCGCTTTTTCCTTCCCTACATTTTCCTTTGTCCAGCACTTTATCCTTGACATCATGTCAAGAGGCATAGACTGAGCATAGCCCTAATAATCCAGAGCACTTGGGTCCCATGGGGACAGTTCTCTGTCTTGGCTTTGAAACAATCACAAGGTGCTAAAAAAAATTCTCAAAAGAATTCATTTTTATTTTTTAAAAAACACCACCCCCCCCAAAAAAAAAAAACCCACTGACTCATTCATGCCAAGATGCACTTTCCAGAGGAAGCATGTCAGCAGGCTCAAATGAACAATGATAGACTCCCATGACATCAAAATGATTCAAATCCAGTGCTTTAGAGGTTGACATTATGAGCTGAAATAGCCACAGGTCACCATTTGGCCTGGTTTGGGGCTCTGCTTTCTTTTTAGTCTATTTCCGTGGTGGCACAGGAGGTAAGAATCTTTCTAGTCTCCAGTCAGGCAGGCAGACTTCTTGTGCTATAGAAAAATATCAGTGCCTAGGCTTGACTTAGCAGTGGGTGAGCTATATTAAGACACATATCCTGCTCCTTCCAAGTCTAGACGATGTATTTGTGGCTCTGGCTTATCTCAGGGGTTATGGATCTCAGAGCTGTTAGTTCTTACATGGATGGATAAGTTCACTGGGATGCTTAAAATTTTTTTTCTCATTGAAATTAGCAGGCACAATTAGGGTTATCCATAATCAGGTCCGGAAGTAAATGCTTTTAAATCCTTGGATTTAAAATTTTAGATTGTCAAGAGGGACATGTTGAAATGAAGATACTGAAAATATTATTTAAAACTAGGAGCTGATCCCTGGCAGAGGGCAAACAAGACTTCCTAGACTTGCCATCCTGGGCCTTTTCTCACTCCTTATTAGTATGGACCCCAGGTTTTCCCTATCATGGCTAGACAATATTCATCTCTGCAAGACTGGGGCAATAGGGGGAAGACATGCTCTGGCAGTTCCACCTAGTTCACAGACTAAGTACTTATCCTTAATTCCCAGAGGAGAAAAAGTACACAGAGGCCATGGATAATAGTCATTGTCACCTTTCCAACTTCCATGCTGATGATATCACATAACAGATGCAAAAGAAATACAAAAATTAAAAATAGAGTTTTCCATGATTCACTAAAGCAGTAGGAGTATTCTGTCAGAAAAGCTTAAACTCAGCACTGAACTTTAATTATACTTAAGCAAAACAGAAAGTATTTTAACAGCACCAGCTGCTACAGCGTGAAACTATTTCCCACTTGAAATTTGTATTGAATCTTTTCATTTGTGACCACATAATAAACCCCATCTTAACAGATTAAATAGCATGAAGCCAAGATATAACATTAGCCAGTTAACCTGTCTGCCACAAACACCCTTCAACACCTGGGAATAAGGTACACTAATACAGCCCTAAGGGAATTTCCTATGGGAAACAGACTCCAGTCCCTGGGAGACAGAAGCAGAATCTTGCCATTATATTTAAGCAATGGCTGCATTTTCCTTTTCATTTTCAAGGTAACTCGTGTTTACCACTGGACCCGAAGTGGCCTTATATAAATCCCTTATCTGATGATCTTTTCCCAAAAAGAAGAGATAGAGGTTGTGCAGGCCAACTTGAAAGAAGTAAGCACCTGCCTGGTACATGGAAGGAAATGAACTTCTATCACCTGCCCACAACCCAGGGCCATCACAGTGTTTCATTCAGAGCATATACAAGCCAGGCCTGCCCACTCAGAGCTTACACTCTAACGTAAGGAAAAATTATGATAGCACATGATGAATGAATAGATTAACCACGGGGTTGGAAGTAGAATAGAGTTTAATAAGGTGAGCAGGTACTAGAGTAGCTGATTTCCCATATTAAAAGAAAAAAATTATTTTAGATAGAAAATAAACCAAAAATTCTGGCCCAACTCTCATACTGTGTCAATAACAATTTGGAAATTAAATTGATTAGTCAATTTAGAGATTAGTAAATCAGCCAACTCAACCTGTTCAACCAAACAAAAATTGCCAAAGGACAATCCAGTGACTGTAAGACATGGTCTGAATCTCTGTACCACTTCTGATCCAATTCAGTCACTCACTGTCATGGCTGGGCAGGAACCCAGGGAAACCTAACGGTGGCTAAAAAAGGGAGCACAGAGTGACGCCTCTAAAAACCACCCTGACCTTGAAACCGAACTGTAACCCTCTTTACAACCAGCATCACATCTTAAGAGTCCACTCTCCCTGAACTTGAGTTGCCTGCAGAAGGCAGGCATGCCAACTTGAATGACTCTGCTCTGCGTTACTCTGAGTTGCCAAATTTAGGCAGAAACACAACCATTCACCTTCTCAGAGCTTTCTAGAACTTGTCTGGTGTCACGGGTTGCCTATATCCTCTCTCAGTCCAGTTTCAGCGGCTCACATTCCAGTCATTACACTGAAACAGAGCACATGCCAACCTCAGCCACAGGCTCCAAACACGGTGCTGGCTGACCAAGGAGCTCACTCACTAAAAATACAAACACTGAAATCCAACGTGTGTTATTTGGAGTCGCAATCCTTTTAACTTCTTACTTATAAAAGCAGGTCTTCCACACTGATAACAACAGGCAAAACAACCTTGACATATGCTCTGCCTAGATAGCACACTCAGAAGATTCTTCAACTTCTCCAGCAAGCTAGAGAATTCAGCAGGAGTTAGAGCTGAAGGAGTTATATATTCCATTGACTTCTGTAAACCAAGAGTAAAGACAATACTTAAGATCTGAAATAATTTTTCAGTTACCAAAAGAACCAAGATTTCGTCTTCGGAAGAGGCTGAGGTCCTGATTCTCTTTCCACACCTGTGCTGTGGCAGTTAAGAATACTTTTGGAGAAGGCCACCGTTGCTTAACTAATATGCCCAAGGCTTTCTCTTTTCTTATTTTGTTACTCAATGAAAAAAGGCTCCTTCCAATCTTGTAGAGTTTGCAGAGTCTAAATTCTAGAAGAATAAAAATTAAACTGATCACTCTGAGAACTACTTACCGAACATACATGCTCAGAGCAAACATTTTGGCAGAATTTGGGCATACTTTTGTTTTGGAGAAATGTGGAAGTAAAAGGGAAAAAAACAAAAACAAAAACCAACAGCAGTGAGTGAGGTAGTTGGTCTCTGCCCCTTCTCCACTCTCCACAAGATGTTTAGCTAGCAACTAGTTGTACTACCAGCCCTCAGAGTTTAACTTTAAATCTTATATAAAAAGGTTGTTGAGGTGTGGTACATGCCTGTAATCCTAGCTACTTAGGAGGCAAAAAAGATTAAGAGGATCTGCCTCGGGCAAATGGGTCCCTGAGACCCTATCTCAAAATACCCAATACAAACAGGGCTGGTGGAGTGGTTCAAGAAGTAGAACACCTGCCTAGCAAGCATGAAGCCCTGAGTTCAAGCCCCAGTAACCCCCCCCCCCAAAAAAAAAAAAAGAAAAGAAGGTTGCTGAAAGAATACAATTCTGTGTGTGGTGGTGGTTATCACCAATTTCTGGACTTTCCAAGTAGTTTTCCTCTTATAACTGAAGTTCACTCAGAACCTAGAAAAGTGCAGCAAGTTCAAAGTCAAAGGGAAAATGTGGCACATTAAGGTGGCAGGTGGCTGAAGAGAAAACGGAAAGCATTTCTGCTATAGTGAGTTTACCTGGCAGTGATTTCTTTCATATGGATCACAGACCCTGAAAATACAGCAAGCAGCTGGTCCAAACAGATAATCAAGGAGTGGGGGGACTGTAGTTCTCATGCTGATTCTCCCTTTAGAATTCTGGGTCATTTGGGACAAAATGTTGCTTTCTATTACTTGAAGACGGGGGAAGAAGGATGCACGACTTGGTTTTAACCTGTGTTAGTCAGCTTTCCGTTATTATAACAAGTATCTGAGATAAAGAAACTCATATAAAGAAAAAAGTTTATTGTGGCTCACAGTTTGGAGGTCAGTCCATGGCCAACTAGCCCTATTGCTGTGGCTTTGAGCTACGGTGTCACATCAGGGCAGGAGCACATGGAGGAGCAAAGCAGTCTACCTCATGGCTAGGAATTGAAAGAGAAAGAAAAACAGACCAGGATCCACAATCCCCTTCACGGGCACGCTCCCAGTGACCTGAAGCCTACCACGAGGGCCTGTTTCTTAAAGGTTCCACCACTTCCCAAAAGCATCAAGGGCTGGTGATCAAACCTTTAAATCCATAGGCCTTTGTAGAACACTTATCCAAACCACAGCAGTAACCTACAGAGCTACCTGGTAAGTGGGAAGATGTCTGTAAAATGCTTTTGAGTGCCCAGGAAATAAATCAGAGGCAAAATAATAACACCATTAATTAAATAAAAAAAAAACATGCATCAGAGTATTGAAGGGAAAGAACTGAAAAGTAGTGACAGCAACTATCCAGGTGACTAACAACTTCGAGGTGCTCCTGGGCCCCATATTCTGTTGTGAACCCTTCACCTAGAGTAGCCCACAGAATGGCATACTGGAGCAAGAGATCTAGCTTTGCCTCTCATCCACTCCTACCACCCCAGACTATCACTCTAGACAGATGAGGAGGGAGTCAAGAAGTGAGTAGTCAGCATGTATTTTTGGAATTCCTTCTACCTTGAAAGAGATTTAAACCAAGATGGAACACACAGGTTGTATACATCTGATGATAATAACAAAGATGCATGGACCTATAAAAAAGTCATTTAATGTATATTTCAGATGGCCAATACAAGCTGGTTAGCCCTTGAATAGTTTTTTTTTTTTTTTTAATAATCATATAAAAATGTTTTGCCTTGTTTAAAAAAAAAAAAGTCTAGTCCAACAAAAACATCCACCAATGGGCTTGCATTTTTTTCCATTTGCAGGTCTGCAAGGTGATTAAAAATACATACACATGCATCTCTGAGCTGTCCATTAGCTAATCAGTTTTGGCAATACACTGCACAGAGGTATACTGCCATTGGTTTCCGACATTAAGTTAGCTTTAAGCTTATTGGCTATGCCGACAACTGGAGGCAGCTTGGAACTCAGTCCCTGGAAAGCACTTGTAGGATTAACTACATGTTTCCCTGGCACCTTCTCTATGGTGAGAGTCTGGGCACAGATTTGCTAATCCAAGGGTGTCTTAATGCTTGAGCCGGGGTCAGGCGGGCGGAGGGGTCCCACTGAAGGCATCTTTTCAGGAACTCTATAAACAAATAGTCCTCACAGCCTTTCAGTGCTGCCCCCCAGTCCTTGCTGCCTGGGGGACCCCGCTTTTTACCCCTACGTGAGCGACCCCCCGCCAGTACAACCCTCCCATCTGCCTGAGTACTGGCGGAGCAGTAGCGGGGGAGACCCTTGGAATTAATAAAGTACTTGGCACGTTTGGATTGCTCTAGAAGTTTTGATGGTGGCATCCCCAGAAGCTCTATCATGCAGGCCAGCTGGTCTCCTTCATCCTCTCCAGGGAACAGAGGCTGCCCTGTTAAAAGTTCGGCAAGGATACAGCCAAAACTCCATATGTCAATAGGCGTGCTGTAGCGGCATCCTAGGATGATTTCTGGAGCTCTGTAGAAGCGAGACTGGATGTACGTGTAAAGCTTCTGGTACTCAAAACAGCTGGACCCAAAGTCAATGACCTTGGTGGCACTGCGCCCATGGTGTTTCAGGAGAATGTTTTCGGGCTTCAGGTCACAGTGAATGATCTTATTTTTGTGGAGAGCATCCAAGGACTGCAGGATGGACTGAGCAAACTTACGTACCAGCTGGACGCTAAAACCCTGAAACTTATTTTTTTTAATCAGCTCATAAAGGTCTATGCTCAACAATTCGAAGGCAATGCAAACGTGATTCCGGAAAGTGAAACTCTCCAGCATGTGGATAACATTCATGCTACCGGTTTTATCCTGTTTTTTAAGATGCTCCAAAATCCGGATCTCCTCGGCCGCTTGCCGATGAAAGCGCTTTTCATTACGCACCATTTTTAGGGCCACATACTGTCGAAGTTTGTGATCATAGACCCGAGCTACCTGCCCAAAACTCCCCTTGCCAATAATTTTCAGCACCTCATATCGGTAAGCTAGATGGTCTCGAGGTACGTGGATATAGGCCCCGTCAGCATCATCGTACCCCCCATTATTGGGACCGCCAATAACTCCCTGCCTTTTTTTGGCATTTGGACCCACAAAGTAGATTTCGGGGTAGTTGATGATTTCCATCTTCTCATAAGCAGTAAGGTGGTGTTTATACTGCTTTAGTGCTTGCTCAGGAGTCAGAGGTACCACTTTGGGTGTTTTGGAGGAACTGCTGGATTTCACCGTATTCAGGCTTTCTGAACTCTTCCCTTGAGAAACAGTTGGTGAGCATTTTTCCAAGTCATTGAAGCCATCTGACTGAAGAGGTTCAGGTCTTCTGCTGCCAAATTCTTGAAACAGCTGTTCTACCTTCATCTCTCCTCCATTCAGAAAGTGCTGAGTGTGATCTCTGGTTAACTGCTCAGTGGTGACCTCAAGGAAGAGAAAAATGCATACAACGTTAAAGTCCCTAGAAACATTAGGAAGATGAAAGGATCTTCCCTCAGGCTGAACAATACCAAAATGTCCAGTCATGTTTATTTTAAGGTTAAAAGACCCGAACAGCTAAGAAAAGCAGCAGTCTCTAAGAGACTTGGGTTATATTAGTTCTCAGACTTCCTGAGTATTAAGGCCACCTTGGTCCCCTATGTATGTCTTGCTTTGTTCAAGACAATATGTCTGTCTTTCCATCCCTAATGTGCTAGAGTTGTTCATAGAGATCTTTGTACTGAGATTCCTACCACCCCCTCATCTACTCACGTCCTAAATGCCTTCAAGACCCAATTTCAGTCCTCTCTCTTCTACTGCTTCAAGCACATACTAATTAACCTCATGTTTGAATTGCAGCTTTTACAGTCTGTTCTATACTTTTTGCCACCGATTTTATATATGTGTATTGTATATATGCATGTATATATAATGTGTACATACACAACACATATGTATACATTGTCTACTAATTGCACGTATCTTCCCAAATTTAAAAAGGCACATAGCAGAATTAAAATAGTGCATATTGCTGGGTGACAGTGGCTCATGCCTGTGATCCTAGCTACTAGGAGGCAGAGATCAGGAGGATCACAGTTTGAAGCCAGATCAGGGAAATAGTTCAAAACACCCTATCTTGAAAAAAACCTTCACAAAAAAGGGCTGGTGGAGGGGCTCAAGGAGTAGGCTGAGTTCAAACCCCAGTACTGCAAAAAATAAAATAAAATAAATTAAAAAAAAATAAAACAGTACATATTAAAGTGATCTGCAAACAATGAAGTAGTATTAAGTAACAGGCAGGATTTGAACCCAGGTTTTCTGACTCCCAGCCCAGGGCTCTTCCTATTGATACTGCTCATCACCAAGTTCTCCTGGTGCCTATAAGACTCTTTAGTAGGGCTGGATGCTTATTATGGCTTGGATCAACCAAGGTCTTCTCCACCATCTACTCCCAGGTCCTCATATACATTACTGCAACCCTAACTCAGCTCACTGAATCACAGAAATTCAAAGCCAGAGACAACCCTGATACCACCTGACCCAATTCTTCACATATTTGATAAATAACAGAGAGAATCTAAGACCACTGGGGAGCTTCTTGCAAAACCTTTCCCTAGTAACAGCCTTGTGAAAAAGAAGTATGACTCTTCTTACTGAGTTTTGTGTAAGCTTTTCTTGGGAGGACAGTAACTCACAAAAGAAAGTTCTACTTATTTCTCTGAATTAAAGTGAGGAGTCTATGAATGGAAACAAGATTCTCTGAAATTAGATGGAAGTAAAGGAAAGCAAAAATAGCCAAACAACTAAAAAGAATTAAAATAAGAAGGGTGACTTCATAAGACGATGGATATGTTCATTGACTTGATTGTATAACCATTTAATTATGTACAGCAAAACAGCATGCTGTATATCTTAAATATATATAATTTTTTTAAAAGGAAAGAAAAACTATTAAGCTATGTTAAGAAGAAACTAGAAAGAAAGAAGAACCATTGAATTTGTTATTTAAGGAAAGTCTAGAATACTTAAAAGAAAGGCTATTTTTCCCAATGGATGCTGATCAGTTTCAGAGGGCCTCCAGTATCAAGGGCAGGTAATTCCAGAGGAGCATGAACGGTTAGCTAAAAAGCAGTCAAACCTCTCAGAATACAGAATTTTAATATAATCCAAGCAAACCAAAAGTTGTATCTATATATTACCAAAAATAAATGAAAAATGAAAAATATGAAAATGAAATTACAAACAACACACAAAAAACAGGATAAGAAGGCCAGACTTTGTGATGCCCACCTATACTCCCAGTGTTACCCTTGCCCCAAAAAGATGGATAAAACAATTTAAGTGTTGGCATATCTCAGATAGCCCCTGAGCTAGTGATAAAAGCATTACTTGGTTCTTTATGTCATTTAATCAGTACTGTAAGATATTGTAAGACTGAAAGCAAAAGTGAAGCACCTAACTTGACTATTACCACAGTGTGGCACCTGGCTATCAAGAGGCCAGATATAGACCACCCGGCTTTCTCTGATACCAAAATAGAGAACTATTACTGGTCAAGAAAACAAATAGACCTCTAGGCAGAACTTCAATATCTTGCTAAAATGCAAATGCAATGCAACATTTATTTTTATCAGTAATTAAGTTAAACCACTGTTTCTGCTTTTAAGGATGAAAAAACAGAAGTGGATTACAACCATCCATCTATCCACTACTCACCAGTACACTCATTAAAGCACTTATTAAAACTAAATGTCATCTCACTACTCAGCATTTGTGCTAAAAAAATTTTTAAAAACCAAGTGTTTGAAAAGCTATAATCTATCTACTAGAGGATAAATTTGGCTGAACTAGGGAAAGATTGCTTGTTTTTATTACACTCACATAACAAAAACAAACATCTGCATGAAACTTAAGTTTTCCTTAAAATTTTTGCTACCTAACTTTAATAATCTAATAATTACTGCTAAAGATTTTGGAACACATCCTGAAGAAAGATGGTCAGAAGGCCTGGATTGGGATTCTGGCTACATGACTTAAAAGCTGTAGACCCCAGGGCAGTTTATTTTAACCTTTCTTAGCCCCAGTTTCTTCATCTGAAGCATGTGGATAATAATACCTGCTTGCAGGATGTTGTGTGAATCAAGTTATAATTCAAGAGAAAGACCCTGACAAACTATAAAACATGTTCAGAATACTGGCCCAATTAGGCAAAATTCTCAATAGATTCCTTCCCTTTTCATTTTCTCCCTTCTCCCTGTGGTGGCTTCCTCCCTATCTCCAGTCTCCCTCCTCTAAGCATCTACCATTACAACACCTGTCCAGTGAGGGCCTGGTAACAAGGCCTTCTCACAGAGAAGCCTCACCTACTTTCTCCCCCACATAAAACCTGCTTTCAACTTGCTAAACAAGTTAATGTGTTACCTCCTACGGATAAAAGAACTTTCACAGAAGATCACTGCCTTCCCCCAAAGGAATGCCTCTCTAGAAACTGCACTCACCAATGACAAGCTAGTAGGAAAGACATTTGTGGGCCAGGGCACATCCCTGGGAGTCTCACCTACTCTGCCTACATGGAAGGCTGAGCTGGCTCTGGAGCTTTTCTCTTCTGTTTGTGATAGAGAGAGGGTCTCAGGCACACTCCATTAATAAGAAGATATGAAACGGAAGTTTAATTTCTATGGAATTAGTACAGTAAGATGAAAAGATGTCACTGGGATTTCCTGACGCATGTTTTTTCTTAAAGTGAGCCTCAATCTTACTACCTGCAACTTAAGTCCTACTTTTGCCCTTAGGAACAACAGAGAAGTGTCCAAATTTCATGTGCAAGACCTTGAGATAGCTGAAACCCTGCCACTCTTCAAACCATTTTCCCGTAGGCTCACCAGATGCATGGACTGCGTCCCTCTCACTTACTTCCCACATGTTGGTTTCCTAGTACCCTGCTTGCATTCTCTGTATGGTCTGTATATCTCTTTGAAGGGTGGCTTCTAGCACAGAACACACTACTAAAGGTGTAGTCCACTATGGATTATTAAGGCTCAAATCGCCAGCAAACCTGCAGAATTCCAGGAAGAAATTTTCCCTCACAGGGAGGGGGTTCTCTTTTAAATATTTCTTTCCTTTCCTATAAATAACTCAAATATTGGCCCAAACCAAAATCAAGTCGGCTGTACTAGAAATAAAACTTTTAGCTGTGCACAATGGCTCACATCTATAATCCTAGCTACTTGGGAGGTAGAGTTCAGGAGAATCGCTACTTGAGGCCAGGCCTAGGCAAAAAGTTAGTGAGACCCATATCAACCAATAAGCCAGGCATAGTAGGTCTATACCTGTGATCACAGCTAAGCAGGAAGCATAGGTAGGAGGATTGTAGTTCAAGGCCAATTGGTAAAGAAGCACTTGACCCTATCTGAAAAATAACCTAAAGTGAAAAGGGCTGGAGTAGTGACTCAAGTGATAGTGTTTGCCTAGCAAACCCCAGTACTATCAATAAAACAATAATAAGTAAATAAAACTTTACTTACATTGCTCTCAATCTATAATGTTTGCACATGTTAAAATGTAATAGTTATGAAACATTATATAGTTCTAGTCTAAAGTTGCAATTACAATAACCAGGAATATATACAATGGACTCTAATAAATGTTTTGTTAAGCATGTAATTATATCCAGAAAGACAGAGATCGCCAGATTTTTACATGTTTTCTTTCTTAAGAATACTTCAAATACATTGTTAATTTGGAGGGTTTATGGTGTTTCAAATATAATCTACTGTGTTAATTGAGTCCTAAAAATCTCATGGAGATATTCGGAAGGAATATTCATCTCATCCAGATATAAAAACTGCCCTCTGTCCAGATCTTGGCCCTAAATCCCTGTAACACAAAACTTAATCCAATAAAAGCCTATCTGTAGATGATTTGTAGCTTACAATAAGAATGCAAGAACATTTTAAATAAATAATGGAGCTAAAAGACTTTGTGAAAAGAGCAAGAGGGACTCAGGATGGAGTCTCAGCATAATGAACTTTTAAGTGCTACCAAGAGGTCAAAAGCACATTTTTTCAGCAAAGTTTGCAGTTAGAATCTGAAATCTTATACTTACCAAAAACTTATTCTGAACAGCGTGTGTAAGAAATTCATTTTGATGCTGAAACATACAATTTAAGTGACCTACTAAGAAGGAGATCAGCATGGACCAACTCTGAAATAAAGTTAAAATGAACTAAAGTCAGATGTTAACCCTCCAGCTCAACTACAAAAAAGTTTCCTACAGAGACATGTGACTGACAGCAAGAAGTCAAGAAGTCTGATGGTCCATACAGGGATTATGGGTCTGGAGTTCTTAAAGGCTTTTATATACTAAAGAAATAGACTGACAGAGAATGGAAAGAAACCCTATTGCACTCCAGAAAGGAGACTAAAAATAGGGTGACCAGACTTCCAAATATTTTTAGTGCATGCTTTGTAATATTATCAGCCTTCAGAGTGCTGAAAAGGTTGATTTTAATAGAAAAACACTGATGAAAACTTGGGAAGAACTATGAAAAATGCAAGTAGTTTTTCCATACAGAAATGATTGCAGGTTTTAAACACAGAAACATGAAAGACTAGCGGCACAAAGTAATCATTTCAGGTATTCAATAGTTTCCTTAGATGACATACACAGTATATTTTAAAGTCAGCAAGACAGCTTTCGCTTGTCTTGGAATTAGTCCAAACCCTGCTCTGACTACTGCTTCATGTATGTTGAAGGAATGTGAATTAATTTCTTCATTACCTTAAGTCAAATGGTGTCAAAAGCTAAAGTGTTTGCAGTACTGAAAATTATTAAATGTTTCAAAACCCAAACTGTGTTGTTCAAGCTTAATTTGTGAGTTACAAAATGGTCCTCTTTCGCATACTAATAAGCCAGAACTGCATTTTTGTCTCGCAGGGGAAAATTGTACAGATCTACAAATTCTGAGCTATTTTCTGTTGTTTTTGTTAAAAGGAGCCTCTGTGATATGCTGTGTATGTCATCCTCTATAAAACAAGCATTATCTAAATAAAAGTACCATATTATTTTTTCCTAGTGCCATATATTTATCTGAGTACAAGACGAAAGGTGGGCTCCAAATCAAAACCATTCTGAAAAGCTAAACTCAGACCATAGAAACTGTTTTCCTAAAGTCAGGAGAAATCAAAAGGAAACAAAACATCTGTTGCCAGTGATACATAACTGTACCTTGAGCATTCAGTTGCACTTCCTCCTTCCCAAGACAATTAGAAGTGTAAAGAATGACTTCTTTCACTTACATTTAACCTTCTGGGTGGAGGTGGTTCAGAAGGATTGCAGAGTACAGTTGAGCAGGGTGGGCATTTGGTTTCATCTATCATCATGAAGGTATCGTAGACACCATCCCCCAATCTAGTGAAAGAATTACAGATAAAAATCTGTCAGCAACTGAAGAATATGAACTTGCATTTCCAAAACGTCCTATATCTTCAGTGCTTTGTAATTGCTACAAAGAACAATTAATAGAAGTAAATGTCTCATGGGAACCAGTGGGGTGTTTGGCAACAGAGTAGAAGAATTCTGATTTTTCTTTTCTTCATTTGTGTGTGTGTGTGTGTGTGTGTGTTTTAAAGACAGATTCAACTCATATTTTAAAACAAGTCTTACTTCCTGAACGTTGTTTAAAAAATTAGACTATCAATTAACTTACTACTTGACAATGAAGGCTAGTTTGAATATGAAGCCTAAAAACAGGAAGAGAAAAGCATGACAGAGCTGACTGTTTCTTCATAACCTGAGACCTGGATTCTAATCTCAGCTCTACCATTGGTTGTGCTGCCTTCCCTCTGGAGCAGGTTATGTTGACAGGAAGAACAGTTCAGTCTACACACTTTTGGGTCTTACCGACAAGAAATAAAAGGTCTTTTAGGGCTGTGTTCTCTTAACTTACCTACTTACATCTACCTAACTTTTAGAAAAATACAGTGTTTATTACAGCAAACACTAAAGGGATACTTTAAATTACAAAAGGTACTGAATTTCACTTCTGTTCCTCCGTCAAGTCCCAGTAGCTGGGGCAGGCAGATGCTAAATGATTAAGGATCATGGCTCTGTTCTCTAACACTCTGGCACCACCTCTGTACGGGCACACAAAAGATGGAGAGGATTTACTGAATTCACAAGATGGCCCTGAATAATGTATTTCATCTGCTACCAAAACCATGCATTTCCCCGTGACAAACATCCGCATTTCACTGTATCGTTTCATATTACAAACATCAATTCAATAATGACCATGTCACAGGCAAAAAATGATTTAACGTCCTTTAAATTGTCCTGGAATATTTTAGCTGCCTTTAAAAATGTTTCGTAAAATTAGTTCTAGAGTTTGCTTGATATATTAAAGGAATACAAAGGGTAAAATAGACGTACGAATATTTTGGAATGTTCTCTTTTTGAAAAAAACATGCTCACATTCTGATAGAATTATTTCTATCTTTAACAAGGAAATGCTTCACCGACAGAAACTAAATATTCTGGACGTGACTGACGCTTTGCTATAGCGTAATAAAAACAAAAGGGACAGGCATCCACATTTACAAAGAAAAAGACTCTAAACACCAGCAAGATTTCCAACTAATAGAGAAAAATAATCACAGGAAGTCTCCATGCAAATGAAGGGGGGGGCGCTCCTTCTCTCCACTTCGGAGTAAACTACAATGCAAGGCGGAGTATCTCTCCAGATAGGATCCAGAGAAAGCCCTAACCCAGCACCACCTCTTCCCTGCATATCCGAAACTAGACCGCACCCCTCACTGCAAAACACCAAGAGTTCACCCTTATTTATCCACTCTGAGCAACAGGGCTTCTTTGAAAGGTACTGCTCGGTGACTCCCCAAGCTTGCGAAAAAGCCCCACAAAAAGCTCTGGGTTTCCGGAGTCCCTTACCATATACACGCCCGATCCAGGGCTTTAGATAATCCAGGGGTGCTGATTCTTCCTCTTACTCCGCTCTAGCCTCCTCCCGCACTCTCCGAGGGCTGGAGAGGGGAGGGGGCGCTGATGGAGGGGAAAGGAGGGGGCTGGTCCCGGGAGGGAATCTGACCCCTTCTCTCCTTCCCTCTGGCTGGGTGCTCACCTAACCCCCAGCCCAGGTCTTCTCCGCGCCCTAGCCTCGCCCGCCAGCTCCAGGCGCTCACTCGGGGCGCCTCCAACCCGTTGCCCCGCGGCGCCGTTACCTCCTCTGCTGGGGCGGGAGCCTGGCCCCGGGCGGCTCCGCATCCTTCCGCCCCGGCCCGCGAGCCGTGCCTCCCATCGCTAGCTTGGAACCCCCCTCACTAGGGGAGGGGCGGCGGTTGGAGGGTCCGCGGGCCGCGTCCACTTGCACTGGGACCGCTGCCTCTGCCTCCGGACCGCGATGCTTCCCCGGGACTCGCGGCCAGACACTGCAGCTCCGCGCGCCTCAGCTCGAGACTGGCCCTGGCTGGGAGGGAGACCAAGCGCAGAGGAGGGGGGAGGAGGGAGGAGGAGGAGGAGGAGGAGGAGGAGAGCGGCCTGGTCGCCTAGCAACCGAGGCACGCCCCCGGGAAACGCCTCTGCGCAACGGCGCGTTGACGCACGGGGGCGGGGCAGGGGCCTGTGCTCTTGTCCAGGGTTGGTGCCCTCCGCCCCGCGCGCTGTTGCTGGAGGTTGAAGGTGCGGATCCCCGCGGCTAGCTTAGGGTGGGGACACGCTTCGGGCTGGGGTGGGTGGGGGGAGCCCCGGATGAACAGAAGCACGTCACTGTTGGCGTTCTAAAACCTCCCGCGTGGATATGAATGTAAAATGGATATGTGTATTATTTCAAGATTTTCCCACTAGCTGGTACTGCGCTCCAGAGGGCAACGGATGACCTAAGGAAGCTGTAATAATAAACTCATTTGTTGACACTGTACAGTACGTGCACTAACGAACATTATCTTACTCAATCTCAGTAACCACACCACGTGAAGTCCCTCTTTTACAGATTTAACTGGGATCCAGAATTGAAGGTGGGGCTTGTCTAGCTTCCCTGAAACAGCATGGGGCGGATGGTAGGGTGCAAAGAGCCGTTTTGGAGATGAGGAAACTGAGGTCAGACTAGCCGTGCTTTCTCGTGGTCATCTACTGGCGAAGCCTGGACTAGAAGTTTCAAGAAGCCCAGTCTTTGTCCTTGGAAGACTCTTTTTTCCTCTTTGTCCTTAGGAGATGAATGAAGGCGTTTCCCCCCCTTTCTGAAAAGTTCGGACTGCTCAGTAATACCGATATTTCGAGGACTTTGATAGTAGAGGTGAAAGTGAAAGGGAGGAGGTTAAAACAGAACGTGTTTCTTGAATGTGGCACCCTATCGTTTTCTGAACCTGCAAAGCACGAGGCCCTTTGAGTCGTCCGAAGAAAACTGAGAGTTCTGAAAATGCCGAACGTGGGCGCCACCTGGTGGGACGTGGACGTGGGGACTCATTTCATGTCAGCACAGCACGGTCCCATAAATCTTAAAATTTCCAGCCCAGGCTCTTTTCTGTGTAATCAAAAGTCGTATTCACATGTCTCCAAGTGAAATTTCCCTGAAGATTCAAAGTCTCTTTATAAAGAATCTGTCCGTTTGGAGAACTTCACTTTTTGTAGTGAATGTCGCGTTAACCTCTCCTCTCTATGATATAAATAAAAGGAAAAAGGTTTTTCCCTAACGAGCTTTTAAATCTTTCTAATTTTATAAATGAGCTTGCACTTTTTTTTTGCCTCTGCCTCCCTCTCTGTGACCAGAGCAATCTCGTTTTGAAGGGGTTTGTATTTGGGCTCTTTGAAGCTTTTGTTTGAAGAGAGTTCCATGGCAACAAAAAGTTTGGACTGGATGGTTGTGGAAGTTCCTCCCAGCCCCAAGATTGCAAAATTCTATTTTAATAATCCCTACTCTTGTACTTCTGTGGACACCTCAGACCACTTTGCTACTCTGTGGAGTCAAGTAGGACTTGCCTTCACAAGTTTCCTTACCTCATTCTGAATCACTTGCACTTGAGAGAATTGCATCTCCGGTCTGTGTTTAAGACACATCTTCCGGAGCCAAGATGAAGCATTCCTGCTCCCCTTCTTGCCCCCAAGGTGGGAAATACAGAGGCTGCCTTTGTCTTCAGTCTGTTGCTCCCATGGTCAAGGGAGGGAGGGAAGGAGGCCCTTCATGAAAGTGACCCAAGTACTTTCCAATGTTTCTTTAAAGAACCTGTTTCATAAACAGCATGACTGGACTAAAGTCTAATCAGGATCTAACAAGAACACCCTCCCCTCGGCTATCCTGTGCCCTGCAGCCTGGGGTGGCTTCCATACTGAGCAGTAGAGGGGGAGGAGGGGGGCATACAAGAGTAGTTCAAAATCACCAGCAGCTAGCTGGCTTTAACCACCATAGGTTAGCCAAAAGTCATGTCTGATGCCTGCCTGACTTTTGAAACCAGTTCTATTATATTGGAAAAATAAGGAACCTGTAATAAACCAAAAAATACAACTATAGGGAGTAGCTCAGTGCTAGAATGCTTGTCTAGCATGCATAAGGCCCAGGATTTCATCCCTAACATGGCAAAAAAAAAAAATTAAAACAAAACCCGCTATTCTAGGATTGTCAAACTGGGAAGCTTGGTCTAGTTAGACCTAGGAGGACCTAAGCAATCTAGACACACACCACTCATGAGCATCCTAGAGAGGGCACTGAGCACCAATTTGATGTTAGGGATTTCCTGAGTAACCTGCTTTTGGCCCTGACAGAGTTAAAAAATAAACCTTTCTTTCTGGTCCTTCCCTTAATCTACCTGCCTAAGGTTGGCCTGAGATGTGAGTGAATGACTTCATTATCTTCCCTTCAATATTGAACTTGCCTTCAGAAATGAAATCCTAGCTTCTTTCAGAGAGGCAAACAGTAAGCTCTGATCCTGCATGGATAAAAAAGAATTCCCACTAAGAATTGCTCCAGGTTTTTGCTTTTGTAGAAACAGGGAAGAGGAACAGATTTGCTTGGGAAGAGTCCAAAAGATTGTTGTGACCCTCACAGGAAAGTGGTAGAAGCTCAGCTGAAGCTGGGCTGGGGTACTTTCTGCCCTGTGGGTCTTGGCAAAGTATATTAATTAGTTCTGCTCTTTAAGGAAGGGTGGTTCTCAGAAAACTTTGAATCCAAACAGTATCAGTTGCTCTCTTTCTTTGCTCTATCAGCTCCTGTTGGTTGTAAAGCTCTTTGGACTGAAAAAGACCAGTGCTTGGCCACTGTTATTCTGTTATTCTGTTGTAAAGGTCTGTTTTGTGAGGGTTGGGAGGCAGAAAACAGTGTCCCAAGTGGGTGGCTAGGTGACCTGGATTATCTGCAGTGAGCAGACTTAAATGGAACAGAAGTGATATGTTCAAATGATAACGACAAACCATGGAATCATTAAACCTGAGTGACTTGAAAAACAAAACAAAACAAACAAACAAACAAAAAAAAAAACCAGACTGGAGGTGAGGCCCTGGATTAGAGCCTCAGCACTAGAAACAAATAAACAAAAACAACAAATGGAGCATTCAGAATGTGATCACAGAGTTTCAAATGCACAGATTAAGAAAATATCCCTATGTTAACATTCATCTAAAATGCTGTGATGAAACAGCTGTTGGTTAAGTTTGAAACTGTTTCATTGCTATGAATTTTACAGCAAAATGTGCCATACCCCAGAGGATGATATGTGTATCACTAAATTGGAATGTGTGTTTTTAAAAAGTCGTTAGGAGAGAACCTATGAAAGTCACTCTTCCAGTTTTGCCATTTTCAGGAGTGTAGACAACTGGTCTGTGTCTCCTAAACCCTAAAGGTTATCCTTATTAATTCCAAACCCCAGAAACATTTTTCTTTTCCCAAGATTTCTGTCTCCTCTTTTCACTTACTCTTCCTAAATTGGCATAACTAGTGCTATCTGTGGATCCTGAGGGGTCCATGTGAAACTTCGCTTCTGAAATTTTTCTAATCACTGATGCCATTATTATGTTCCAAGCACTTTCTGAAGTGCTTTATATGTTTACTCATTTAAAACTTGCAGTAAACTGGGTGCTGGTGGGTCACGCCTGTAATCCTAGCTACTCAGGAGGCGGAGAACTGCAGTTCAAAGCCAACCTGGGCAAATAGTCCAAGAGACCCTATCTCAAAAAAAAAAAAATCACAAAAATGGACTGGTAGAGTGTCTCAAGTGGTAGAACACCTGCCTAGCAAGAGTGAGGCATTGAGTTCAAACCCCAGCAACTCTAGAAGCTGGAAAAGGCAACCTAAAGAAGGTCCTGATGGATGTTTATGATACACAGCTTGTTTTGTGTTCTAGCTCTAGATTCACTCACACAATCTAAAAATACAGGAAGCATCAGCTTGAAAGAAATACTTCTCTCAGGGTCAAGTAGCACTTGAAATCCTGACTTTGAAGTTTAGAGAACAACTTAACTCAGTCCCAGACCCTGCTAGGGCCCTGCCTGTCATCCATCTCTAGGAAGAAGCCCATGGCTGCTGCAGGGCTTCCCTCCTCCCTCACTCATTTCCTCAATTTCCCACTTCTTGTTCCTGCCACAGACATCCTATCCACGCCTGGAGTTTAAGGATCCCAGCGCTGTGAGTCAGCCACGGAGGCAGGGTTCCCTCATTTGTGGAATTTTCCCAGCGAACAGCAGGTGTGGGAGTGTCCACTGACAGGTTTCTGCCACAGATCATGAAAGACATCTTAACCTCAGAAGAGTCCATTCCAGACTTTTCCCAGGCAAGGAAACAAGTATAACCACCTGAGATGTGGAAGATTTTATTTCTGAGAGCTTTCAGGATGTTTTTCTGCCCATTTACCAGTGTCTGGGGGAAGAAGAGATCTGTGAGTCAGGAATTCAGCAGGGCAAAGTGGACATTGTTAGTCTGTGCTGCCTGATGGCCAGCGCCTTAACTGGAAACTTGACAGCCTATGGGGTGGGATGACTTGGCAAGGGCTGTAGGCTCTGTTTCCAAGGTGGTTTAGTCATATGGCTGGCAAGTGGGTGCTAACAGATTGGTGTCTCCCACATGGGCCTCTTCTCAGGACTTCTTAAGTATCCTCTCGGCATGGCTTCCACCAAAGTGAGAACTCTAGGAGATCAAGAAGCTGGAATGTATTTTATGACCTAGTTCAGGAGTCACACAGTCACTTTGGTCATATGCTATTTGTCACAGAGGCTAGCTCTGATCTCATATGGAAGGAGATTACATAGGGAAGACCATTGAGGGCCCTCTTGGAATCTGGCTACCATAATCTGCTCACTAACCCTCAATAATTCATTTTGCCCCCACGTGTAAAACATACTAACACCCTTCCCAGGTCCCCCAAAGTCTCATTCCTTCAAAATCATCAAATAAAAATCCAGAATCGCATCGTCTGAATCAGTCCAGGTGTGGATGGTACAGATCAGGTGTAG